TCTTCCTTACTATAAGCCACTTGCATTTCGATCTGCCCCGTCCTCCTTAGCTTTTCTGGGCTCTCCTACACAATCCTTTTGCTCTTTCCACCTCCTTCCCGCTAGCTTTTTCTCTGAAAGGTCGGGAAGCACTTATTTAGCAGAGGAGGGAGCTGCTGTTGTTCATTCCCAGGGATTAGATGCTCCCTGTAGTATCTCCACATGTGCCAAGAAGCCCTTGGCCAGTTGCCGGAGGGCTTTTCCGAGTCATTCTGTCCTCCCCTACGAACTCCCGGGCAGGACTCTGCACTCTGCTGCTGCCTTTGGTAGATGCCAGGGATGACACAGAACAATCCAGCCCCTCACTACTGCGGATCGCTGTACCCAAAACCATGGAGTGCCGCTTCCGAACAGTTTATTCTTCTCCCAAAATCCACCTTTAGCACCAAACAAGTTAAAGGTTTAAGGGGCATGAAACGATCGGAGGTTTAATTCACTGTCTCCCGAATGCTAATGATTTAATGAAGAGGCTAAAAGATGCATATTGAAATGAGAGGGGAAGAAAAAAAAAATCTGCCCAGCTGTGCTTTTAGATGAGCTCTAAAAGGTGTTTTTTCTATCTCTGCTAACAAGCTGTCACGATGCTTAGAAAGCCTCATGGGTTGTCTACGGTGAGTGAAAGTATTTGGATTTTGTTGTGGTCAATTTGAGTTTGGTCTGTGTTTTTGCTGTCATTTGGAAGACAAATCTCCCTGAAGCATTCATGTTTCCTGGGGAACAAAGGACTGTTTTGTGACCAGCTCATCAAACAAGTTGGCAAAAGTGTCCGCGGCGCCATCTGAGATGACGTCAAAGCTCCATCCAGAATTCTCTGGCAGGCTCACGCTTAATGGATTTCGAACATTGCATGAGGCCATGTCTTGTCAACCTGGAATGAGTCTGTCCTTTTGGTGTTAGTGTCGTGAAAGTTCCATTCTTTTGTGAAAAAGCCACTGAAATTGCTGTAACTTTCTACCTTTCAGATCTATCTCTCCCAGACTCCTCTGTGCCCTAACCCTGTGTTTGACCTGATGCTGAAATGCTGGAGCAGGGATATAAAGGATCGTCCCACTTTTGACATGATTCACCACTTCCTGCTAGAACAAATGGAATCAAACATTTGACTCCAGGAAGAAAAAGAGACAAACTGTTGAGACCAGAGTGACTTTGGTGTCAGTTTGCCTGTACCTCACGGGAAGACGGTCAGGCCACCTTGCTCTCCTCCCTTGACTGCACCGTATTTAAGTTGAGACGTCCATGGCAGCTGCTCATTCTATTGGCCATGGTCTGACACACAGGACCAGGGGATCTCATTTGGTTGGAAAAAAAAAGAAAAAAATCATCTCCTCTTCCGAATCGTTTCCTGGGAATACTGTGAGAGGGGTTTTATTATATACCCGTACACCTTTTGGGACGAAACGAATGAGTGGAGCCTTGGAGCTCTCTCCTGGGGGGAACGGAAGGCTGCCGGTCGGTGAGAGCGCTGCCACTCAAGAACAGGTTTCTAAAAATAAAGACTTCAGTCTTCTGAAACTATTCCATTAACTCCAATGGAAGTCTTGTGCACATTAGCAAGTGTTTCTGTGTGCTCTTGCTGCGGACTACGTGTATGGCGAGAGACTAGAAACGCCTAGAGCTAGGAAATGGTTTTCATGGACTTGAGAACTGACGGAGCATTTAACAGCCCCTTGGAAGTTACTCTACCGGGGTCTATGGAGGATGCTGATACGAGAGTCCAAGATCATGTTCTTTTTTCCTGTGGTTGTTAAGCACTGCTTTTGTTATATATGTGCGTTTTCCCCACACTGGATTTTTTTTTTTTTTTTCTTCTAGAAAGAAATAATTTTGAAAATGAATGTTAAAGGTCATAGGAAGGTCACTGCGGTAGAAGATCTTCGTCTGACCTACAAATTAAGGCTAGGGTAGGGAGTTTGTATGGAAAAGTAGCAGATACTGTACTACTGTCACTATGTAGATTTATTAGCCTAATGAACTTGTAGCCACAATGGACTGATGTGCAATTAATCCTGTATAAGTACCCATTAATATGAGATCTCTAAGTCGATGCTGTTAGGTGTGCACGAGGGAACTTGGATCTGGTGAAACTCGCAGAGCCCGCGATGTCACTTGTCAGAGCTGGCGTGAGCAGAGAAGGAGCAGAGCACGGGTTGGCCCCCGGCACACATACGCTCTGAGTCGCGCGTCCAGTGGTGGCGTTTCCTCATCGAGTCTGCGGCAGGGTCGGTGCTCGTCGCCCAGGCAGGTGCGCTTTGGTCCAGGCTCCTCTCTTGCCCGATCAGCTCTGGCGTGAGGAGACGGGGCTGACGTATCCCCTTTGCTTTGGGTTTAGGTTTTATTTTGGACATTCCCTGCACAACGTGAGACCCACTTACTCATTGAGCTTGGGGTTGTGTTTTGTTTGTCTTGTCACAAACGGCTCATTCTCTGGAGGGTTTTACAGGGCTCTGAAATCCATTTGGAGTGAGAGAATTTCTACAATAAATCCATTGTGGATTTACCAGGTGCCTGGGGAATACTCTGCTATTCCCTCTCTAATTGTTTAGTAAGATACTTAGGACCAAACCAGATATTTCATAAGCTGGGAGAAGGTGGAAGCTCAGCACTTGGCTTTTTTAAACAGCATCCAGCGTAGCGTGTATTTCCAGTAAAGACTGTAAAGATAACTTTTGTCTTGGTCACAAGCATAGTCTGCCTGGCTGGCTGTGTGGTGAGCTCTGTAAGAGGGCACTGCCGAGAGAGGGAGTGTCACAGCGGTCATAATAAGGGGTCGGAAAAAAAAAGCGGGTGCTTCTGAACTGGCCATCACCAGGAGGGAGCGTGGCACCGGCCGTGTCTGTTCCCTCGGCAGAACCAACTCTGTCATCAAGTTCCCTGGTTGCAGCTCCCTCGATAGCGCCGTGCCCAGGCTGTCCCGGCGCAGACTCGCCGGGAGGTCCCCCCGGCTGCGTGCAGGTGTCTCCATCCAAGCTGCTCCTCTGAGCCCCCTTCACGTGCTGAGGAGCTGGAGGGTCCAAGTCATCTCATCTCCCTGTGAGGGATGCGCAGGCTCAGGTGAATCTCACCCCCAATTAGGTCTGGGTGGGTTTTTTTTTTTCTCCTTTGATTAGAGGGGCCCAGGGTGAGCTGCTGCTTCGTACGTGCACCGTCTGTCGGGAGCTGGGTGGTGGGAGGCGAAGGCAGCGCGGTCGCTGGGGCAGCCTGTGGCTGGCAAACCACGCATCGACTGCGTTTCCGGAGAATTTCCATCCTGTCCCAGAAAACGTACCCAAGTAACACGAAGCCGTGTGTGTGATCTCCTCTTCTTTAGAGGTACCAGAGCGCTGTAACGTCACCTGGGTGGGTTTTCTACTTCTGTTATGTCAGGATGTGCTGTTCCTCCATTGACATGTTGACATACAAAGTTTCTCTCATATCAATAAATTCTAATGATAACCTTGACAAAAGCGAATTTCTGCTTTTTTTTGACTCAGGGTGGGTATTTTGGTTTGTTAATTCAGTAACTCTTTGGTAAGTGTGTGACTCCCGGTTTTGAAAGGAGCAGCCTGTGGCTGTTTAAAGGAGTGAGCTTGGAAGGGAGTTTCTGAAATTGCTGGGAAGACGCTGGCCTGAGTGTCCTCCAGAGCTGAGGAGGCTGATGGGACCTGGGACAACCTGGGATCATGGTTCTGTGATGGGAATATGGTGCTGCGTTTCAGTAAGCGTTTGGGTTTTCGTATGTTCATTTTAAACTCAGGAATACTTAGAGTGGGAGAGACCTTTGTAGGTCTCTAATCCAACTGCCCACTAAAAGCTGAGCTAACTCCAGGTGTTCCCCAGCTGAGATTTGAAGATCTCCAAGAGTGAGGATGTGTCAGGGCTGTTTCTCTCTGGGAGGGGGAGAATTTTCTTCTTGTGTCCAGTGGTCCTTCCCCTCGTTCTGTCCTGTGCCTGTCACCTCTTGGTCTCCTGCTGCGCAGCTCTGGAAGAGCCAGCGTACGCAGACCCACCCACCCTGCAGACCTGGGGCTGCTGGAGAGGCAGGACCCTGATTAGAGCTCAGGGATTTGGGCAAACTCAAGTGTGTTTATAAAGGCTGAAAGTTTCAGATCTCCGAAAGAATTTTGGTGCAAAGGCTGAGCACCAAAGCAGCATTTTTATCTCCTCAGATACAATTTTGGGTGGAGTACAGACACCTAAACAGGTGATTGTATCTCTGAAGTATCCTGAAGCACCTGTCAGCCGTGTGGCCAAGCTCTTCAAGGACATGGAGGGACTTTGGCAGTGAAGCAGGCTTGCTGTACATGGTGGAAACAACGCTGGTGCTAACAGCCATTGTGGTCTTTGGCTTGAGGACGTGCTGGCCCCAGTGGCTGCTCAGTAAAGAGGAGACTTGTGTCCTGCACCTGCCTTCAGCTGGAGCCGGGTGGAACCCACCGCCCCCAAGACGACGTGACCGTACGATGTTGGGAACAGGAGCAACATTTGCGCTGCACAAAGGAGGGCAGAGAGGGACCAGACCAGGAGGGCAATAAGGAGCCGGGAGAGGAGGGCTGAGCCTTCCACCACAGCCCAGTGAATCCCCCGACCTCTGCCTTGGGTTTCCTCATGTGGCCAGGTCTGTGTGGGCTGCGCTGGTGCCAGGGCCACGCAGAGCCAGGCTCTCCCGAGTTGTTTGTGTTGGCCGTGAACTCTTGTGCGCGAACGCCCATTTGTGCTGGGGCTGCTTGCGGGGAACATCTGGCGCTGCTGTCCCAAGGGCTACGAGCTTTCAGGAAACCTGACAAATGCTGTAAAATCTCTGTGCTCATCCAAATTTTCCAGGTGGAGGGGAAAAAAAAACCAAGAAACCCCTTCAATAACGTGTCCAGAAAAACCTGATGAGCTGTGGCTGGAAGTACTGACATCACAGAGGTTTCCCGGGCGACTGCACCACTGCCATTCTCTGTCCTCCCACGCCCAGGCTGGGAGCTGCCACATCTGCCATGGCAGCCCCCAGGGAAAGTAGCCTCTTCCCTCTCAATCCCTACCATATCCCTGGGTAAGTTTGGAAGTTCCTCCAAAATGATCTGTTCGTTTCCAATGCAAATAGCTCCGCTTGGGATCACGTAGCGTTTATGATTCATGATATTTTGGTGGTGTGGGGGTTTTTTATTAAATATTCCATGTAGCAGTGCTTCGGAGGAGACAGGGCTCCAGGGTAAGAAGTGCCACCTTATAACATTATAATTAAAGACTGTGCCATAACACAGTGAGGGTAAAGGCAAAATGGTTTTATTTCCCCCCTCCCCCTTTTTTTCTTACCTCATTTCTTTCAAGCTGTCGATGTTACCAGGGCTGCCGTGCAGGGCTTGGCTTCCAAGCCGTCATCAATTTTTGCATCAAGGATGTTTGAAGATCTCCTTTGAATAACTATTTGCATAGACATGATGCACTGTTGTCACAATGGCTGGAGCACAGCCTTGCTGCTGGAGGAGTCAGTGACTTTGGACGCTGGTGGTGTAGTTGATACATAGATGTATTTTGTTTTTCAAAGCTTTTTTGTGACATTCTCCTCTAAAGGCTTGGAAAGGAGAAACTGAGCTGTCATGGGTAAGAGGTAATGAGTTAATGGTTAAAAGGTAAGACATGAATGGCAGAAATGAGCGCATAGGCTGCGTGGTGAAGTAGAAAAGTTGTGTGGGGAGTCCCCCAGTGAGCTGGGCTGGGAGCTGTGGTCCGTGACACATGTGGGCTGGCAAGGGCTGGACGGCCACCAAGGGAAAACAAGCTTCTGTTGGTAGAAAATCATTGGATTAGTCCAGCCTAAGGGTAATCCTGAAGGGTGCTGGGATGACATCCTGTTGTGAGGGTGACAGACCAGACTGCAAACCTTGCCACAGAGAAATCCAGCTGTGTCCCAGCTGTGGTGCGGGCAGGAGCTGGGCAGATCCCAGGCTGCAGCGAGGGTTGAGATGCTCCTGCGGTGACGGTTGCCTCGGTCCTTCCCATTAGAGCAACGTGCAGGATTTTTCCATTACTGATCTCTGTACCTTCCAAACTTACATAAGCTGCCAGGGTTGGGTTTTTTTATTTTGCATTGCTGTGGTTGTCTGAACGAGGTATGTGTTACTCCGTGCCTGCTGTCACCCTGTCAGAGCTGTGCTGGCGGTGGCTTGGGAAAGACGAGTAGCAGCAAAGAGGGAGCTGTGGCTGAGCTTGCACCTCCAAAAGCCTCAGAACCTTCCCTTGCTTACCTCTGCCGCAGACACAGCCCCCAGGAGCAGCTCGGAGCCCTAATTCCAGCACAGGAGTTGGGGCTGCTCCTCTCGAGGCTGGTGCTTCGGCTGCCGAAAACAGGAGGAAGAGGAGGAACCAAGTTCTGCTACTGCCTTTTGCAATGTCACGCAGGCTCGTAGCAACACCCCAAGCCCCAGAGGAAGCCCCGTGGGTGGTGACGATGCTGCTTTGCATCTGCTTTGGGTGGCTGAGCGCAAGGAGGAGCTGCCTGAGGGGCATCGCTGGAGCCTGGGCTCTGCTGCTGGCAGATGGGGCGCCCTGTGCTGGGGTGCCGGCAGGAGGGGGGCATCAGAACCAGTTGCTGTCTCTCAGGTTGGGCAATGGTCACGGCCCAGGCTTTGAAAATGCCACCGCAGCGCTCGGGAGCGTTGGGAAGCCAAACCCAACATGTGGGATGGTTTGAGAAGGACTTGGCACACAGAGAAGAGGTAAATCTGTGAATCCCAGGCACGGTCCTGCGTGCCCTGTCCCGGCTCAGCAGAGCTGGGAAGGGCGCGGAGTGGAGTGAGTCCGGGGAGTGGTGATGGAAGAGATATGGCTGAGTAAGAGGAAAGTGAAATGGGGCTCAGGCTTGGGAGAGCAGGTTACTCACTGCTCGGCAACGACGTCTGAGATTGGCAGCTGTAGCGCTCAAGTGTGAGCTACAGAAACAGGGGATCCCTCTTGGTTTTTAGTCAAAGTACCAGGCAGGAGAAGGCCACACAGCCCTGCTGAGGCTGGTCTCTTCCCCAAGCACCACGGGTTTTATCAGCAGCACTTGTAATTCGCTCCAGAGCAGATCCCTTCTCCATAAACCTGAACTCACTCGCCCAAGCTCCTTGGATTGCTTCTCTTTTACTTGCTTGTAAGTTGAATCCTTTCTCAGCCCTACCATTATTTTGTTCATGATCGAAATCCTTCTGGCCATCCTGTAATTATTCAGGCTATGTCATCTGCGCTCTTGCTCAGCTTTATCATCCCGGAGTAGCTTTCCCATGTTGCAAGACTCATTGAAAATCAATGGGGACGAACCTCCGAGCTCCTCCGGCAGCTGCTGCTGAGAGATCCTGCATGCAAAGAGGGAAAACTTGCCAAGTGTGAACGCGCGGCTCTGCTCGCTGTTGTTGAAAGTATTTGGAAGGGAAAGTGCTTACTCATCACCTTATGATCCTCATGTATCAGCTGGCTTTATCCCCAGGTGGGCGGCGGGCTAATTGATTTAGTATTTCTGCCCATATATTGCAGCTGGCAGCTTTACCTTTCCTGGTGGAATCACATCACCATTAGGAGGTTGGATACAGGGAATAGTTAAAGTTTCTGACCTGTACTGGTGGATAGGGGAGCGGAGCCAAAGCTCCAGCACTTGCCCTACCCTGAGCCACCAAGAAATCAAATTTGCCCGTCCCAGGCCCTGGGGAGTGAGAAGCAGCGTGTGGCTACACAGCCCGCACGAAGGTCCCGAAATTGCATCCCCCTGTGGGGCAGGGCCTGGGTGGGTCCATAGGAGGGTACGGAGTCGAGGGGTTTGGTGGGTACAAGCAAACAGTTTTTCTCATTTTTTGAGTTTCAGTATTGAACAAGGGACTCTGGGAAATTCCCAGTAACTCATTTCAGAACAGAGGGAGGGATTGCAAAATGTGAAACTGAAGCACATTTAACTGGAAATAACATTTTAACACGGGGCTATCGAGGTGCCTGCAGACCACGCTGCTCCCACTCAGGTGCTGCTTCAGCTGCGCTCCCTGACCTTGTCCCGTATTCCTCTGCACACCAAAGCGTGAGCTTGTGCCTGTACACGCCTGTAGATCTGAGCCAGCTTTCATGCTGCCGTGTAAAAGCACGTGTGTGCGAACACACATGGTCACACCCTCCTGGCTTCACGTGTAACCGCGTGCATCTTCTCAGTGCTCCCTTCTCACCGCTGCTCCAGCGCCACAAACTCATCTGCGCTCCTGGGCACGTCCCCGTACAACCACCTTCCCCGGGCTCAGGTACTCAAAGCCCCGTGTGCTCCTGGTTGTGGCTTTTCCAGCATACTAAAGCTCGCAAATCCTGGTTATTCCATCAGCGGACGCCTTCCAATGCTACCTCAGTGACTGTCTTTTTTTTTTGTTTGTTTCGTCCCCAGCTATGAGGGTTTCATCCCTCAGTACAACTACCAGTTTGGAGAGACTTTTGGCAAAACCACGTACCGCCTGCTAACAGATCCTACCATTGCGAGGAGCCCCCGGCCCCTGCTGGCGCCGCTGCACAAGCAGAAGTTCATCGAGGACTTCAGCGGGACCACGCACGGTGTCCAGGGCTATCTCCCCAGGCGGCTAGGTGAGCAGATGTGGGCGCTCGTCCCTTCGCCGGAGCCGGGCGTCACTCCTGAGCTGTGCCCACCCTTGGCAGCTCCCAGGCTGGGATACGGGGTATTTTTCCTCAGAGCTGTCAGAGCTCTGGTGTAGGAGCACGGGGAGCGGCACTGCTGAGGGGCTGGAGCACTCGGTCACAAATAATGAGCTGCTTCTGACACGAGCGTCTGGTGGAGAGGAGAATTTTAGTTACCAGGTTGTTTTCGGTTACGTGAAGAGAAAGGATTTTATGGCATATTGTCAATTCACTCCCCAGTTCCTCCATATTCCTGTTGTGGTTTAACCCCAGCTGTCAGCTCAGTCCCACGCAGCCCACTCCCCCCAGTGGGATGGGGGAGAGAAGCAGAAGAGTAAAAGTGAGAGAACTCCTGGGTTGAGATAAAGACAGTTTAAGAGGTAAAGCAAAAGCTGCATGTGCAAGCAAAACAAACCAAGGAATTAATTGGCTCTTCCCACCTTCTTCACTTGTGCTAACAGGCCCCATCTCCTCCATCAGACAGAGACGGGCTTGTGTAGATTCCCAACACTGGGAATTTGCAGGAACCTCCTACCAGGTCCCAGCTCTGCTGGGCAAAGCTCCTGGTTCCCCCTGAGCAGCCCCAGCTCAGGCCACAGCAGCAGCCCCACCGGGATCCCGGTCAGCCCCTCTCGGGGATGTGTCATCCTCAGGAGACCCGTGTGCTACCCCACGTGTCTAAGCCCTGTTTGATGGGATCGAGTCCTCTCCTGGCTGAACACGGATGTTATGTGCGCGGGTGGGATCTGAGTCTTCGTTTCGCTGGGCATGGCCACACCAAAGCGATGCTTTTCCATTTCATTCTGGGAATTTGTGTTGCGTAGTTTCTTGCAAGATTTTTTTGGCCGTTCTCTTCATTCCAGTCCTGTTCTCCAGCACCCAGGTCTACTACACAAGTGGTGTTTACAGACTTCATTCCTGGACATTTACATTTGCATTTCCTTGGACTAAAATGTAGTTTGGATGGACCCAACCAACCAGTTGATCTTGTTGCTTTCTCAATATCCTGTCCTTGTTCTTGTTCTCACCAACCATCCCATCACCTGCCAACGTTTGTAGCCAGGAACTCACCTTTGCTGCTCGTTGGTGAAATGCTGCAGGAGGTGGCTACAGGGAGTACCTGGTTGTGCTGGTCGTCCTTCGACAGCTCCTGCTGTTGAGCTGTCGCTGACTGATCCCTAAAACCTCTCCTTGCAAACTTCATCAGCACTGCCCAGCACGCTTTTGGCGATTTCACAGGGTGGAGGTCAAAGAGCTCGTGGCGGCGTTGGGTCTGTGTGGCTGCCTTAGGCAAACTCAGTCTGCAGACTTCTTCTCAAGGTCTGTTCTTATAAAGCCTTGATGGGCACCAAGTGTTTTGCTGATCTTCATCAGCTGAATCCCATGTTTTCTGGCTGGAAGTGAGGTCAGGCTCTGTTGGTTGGGGATATCAACCAGGGTTGTGCTGATCTCCTGTGGCTGTATTGGCATCACGGGGGTTTTGGCACAGGGCAAGTATTTGCAGGCACCCTCACCCCAGGAACTGGGGTTGAAACCACACAAGTATTTCCACAGATCAAACGCAGGATGCTCTCCTGGCTTTTAATTTAGAGCCTTTCTGCGCAACCTTCCTGAATCAGAAAGTTCAAATGGCCCAGGGTCATAAAAAAGAGCTCATACAGATAGCTCAGGTACAAAACAGCTTCATTTTTCCTTTTCCTTTGGTTTCTGGGATAAAGAGAGTAGATGCAATGTTTTCATCAATAAGGAAGGAAACACTACAACAAACGTGCCTTAAAATTTGCAACCTGGATTGAGAAATCACTTTCATCAAGGGTTTGTCTGTGTTTTGTTGCTAGCCTGGACAACCTTCGATCACTCAGCTCCACAGAGTATGTACACTTTACAAAATCATATGCAGCACATATACTTCATAGCACAATCACAAGCAGGTTGCAAACCTAAATGACCATCAAAAGTCTCGCACTCTTGCAGAAAGGGATAAGTTTTGCTTTGTGCTGTTTGAGCAGGGACAAACCCTTGTAGTTACTCCAGGGTTTCTACAGATGAAGCCTTCACTGGAGGATGCTGCCTCCTCCGTGGGGCTTTGCTCTGCAGTACAGAAGTCCCCCAAACAGGAGGAGGTCAGGGAAAGACAAGAATGACCAGAGGCCTGGGGAAAAAAAAAAAAAAATAAAAGACCTACAAGCACAAAAATGAAGGAATTTGGTTTGTTTAAAGATGACAAGGCTGACATGGTAACAGTTTTCCAGTAAGGAAAAGGTTGTTGCGGGACGTAGGAGCGATCATCCTCCACAACCACCGAGGAGGGAGGAACAGGCTTTGCTCTTGGTGTGGAGCACGAAGAAGGACCCGGCTGGGGGTGTCGTTTGGGGCTGGTGGAGCCACGTCCCAGGGTTTTTTGAAGAGAAAAACAAAAGCTGCCAAGCTCAGCTGTCCCTGTGGAGTCTCAAGGCGCAGAGGTCTGTCCCTAGTTTGCAGTGGAGATATTTAGCATACATGGGATGGAAGATCATTTTTTTCCAGCCCATGTCACAGCGGACCCTTTCCTCAACGAGCAGCAACAATGTGAGTGCAAGAATTTCTTGGTGGTGGGGGAAGCTCTTCGGGGTGTGCTGATGCAGCTGTGTGGAGAAAGGGAGCTATTTGGGGGTTAACTCCTAATCAGCCCCTTGGCTGATGATATTTTACAGTTTAGGCATCGCTTAGAAAAAAAATTAAGTTCTTTAGCTTCTATTTGTGCAGTTTCCCTGTGGAGGCCAGTTTGTTGGATGGGTGCACACCCAGCCCATGAGATGCTCTTGCCCCTCGGGCTCCTTTCTTTCACTCTGGAGGGCTGTCTGTGGGCCAAGGTCCAGCTCAGTGGGAATCCTTCCCCCTTGTTCGGCCGCTTCTTCCTCTTAACCAAGCATCTGTCCCGCAGGGTACGTCCCCTATGAGAAATCTGGGGCTGCAGCAAGCCTTCCTGAACTGCCCCTTGGGCCCAAACCTCCCTCACCGAGGCCGGAGCCAGCAAAGGAAGAGCTGATGATAGCGACACACATGGACCCCGAGCCCCAGCACCACCCCGGCATGGACATCCCAGGGATGCGACTGCCTCAGGGGTACCTGCAGGGGTTCTCGCACCGTCCTGCCTCTGAGGAGCAAGAGGGGCGATTGCCCGAGCTGACCCTGGCTTGTGGAAGAACATGTGGACCCGGCCAGCTGGGAAGCAAACTGGTAAGTGGTCTTAGGTGGGAGGGATGGGTGGTGAGGGATGCTGCTGGGGCTTGGGGACTGGTGGGCAAGGAAGGGATCTCCTCAGTGTGAAGAAGGAATTTCATACGGGCGTGGGTGGCAAGGATGGAAAGTTTGGTGTTTTGCCTAGAGAAATATCAAAATACACGAGTGTTTCTAGCAGTAGCAAATCCACCCCATCTTCAGAAAATTGTTGTAATCTTGGTTACTCTTCCTAATCGAAAAGGATTAACTTCTCATCTGGTTGAGGTTTAGCTTCAAATCCGGGTCATTAGACCTCGGGTTACGCTGCGCTGTGCAGCTGGGCTCGTCTTTCCTTCGGGTGAGCCAGAGCCCTGCCGCTGCCCTCATCCTCCTCCTCCTCCCCTCCCTGTGCTCCTGGCACCTGGGGTTACGTGCCAGATTTCTGACCCCTCAGCTGCTCCCACTGTCCCCCTGAACTTCCCACCATCATCACCCCTGGCTGAAAGGCGAGCGCTGGGGTTTGCTGCTGGAGCTGGGTGCTGCCCTCGGTGGCATCACCCAGGTCCGATACGTTTGAGCTTCTTATTTCTCTTGGAGGCAGAGGCAGCGTTTGGAAGGTCATGGCCGGCCGGGGCTCCGCAAATCCCCTGAAGGCAGAGATTAGAGGTTTGACGTATCGAGTCAAAAGCTGGCTTGGATATAAATCCAAAGAAATCGTCTTGCTCTGAGAAAACAGATTTACAGAGGGACTCGGCCCCCAAAGCTCCCCTTGTTCTCCCTGGGGATTTTGCAAAACCCCTGCCTACGGGGAGTTTGGCTGGTAATTTGATGTTACTGGAAATTCTTAGAGTAGCTCTTGATGTAAAGCCAGGACAACGTAGAAATGGCAGTTGTCATTCTCAGGCTCTGGCAGTGATTTAAACAATGGAGCCAAAGGAAGAGGTGGGGTTTCCTAGTGTTTAAAAAATGCTTTTATTTTAAGCCCATAAATATCGAAGGCGTGATACTGCCAGGAGTGGCTGAAACCATGGATCTGGAGCAAGAGAATTGGTTACCAAGACTGGATGTGCCAAATGCGATCCAACAGAAAGTCATTCCAGGTAAAAGCAAGGGAGGTCACGGACGCTGTGAGTCCACCTTGGAAGCAATCGTGTCACCCTTCTGCGCTGTGGGGAAACCTCAGAGACATTGGCCAGTACCTCCAGCTCGTCTGAACACTTTGGGATGGAAAGTGCCCCTGCTCCTCTCTGTGCAAGGGTGTTCCTCTGGGCTGCTGTCCCCTCCAGGGATCTCACGCTGAGGGACACGTGCCCAAGGGATGCAGCAGCCACTCCAGCTGCCCACAGCTGTGGGGCCAGACTGGAAACTGCTCCAGAAAGCAAGGAGAGATGGGTCAGTCATGGGCTCTGCGCCAACTCCAGCACCTTGATGAGTATCTGTTGTCATTGAGGTAGTTATTTCTCTCCTAGAAATGCTTTCCCAGATCCTCAAATCAACAAACCATGGTGTATTGCAGCCCCATAAATGTATAAAACTCTGCCCTACGAGGGGTTTTACTTGGTAATTTCTCCCCTTGCACTGGAAGAGTGCCAACTCCAGCACCTTGATGATTATCTGTTGTCATTGAGGTAGTTATTTCTCTCCTAGAAATGCTTTCCCAGATCCTCAAATCAACAAACCATGGTGTATTGCAGCCCCATAAATGTATAAAACTCTGCCCTACGAGGGGTTTTACTTGGTAATTTCTCCCCTTGCACTGGAAGAG